CTGTGTGATTGGGGGCTCTGTGATGGGGGGCTGTGTGATTGGGGGCTCTGAGATGGGGGGCTGTGTGATTGGGGGCTCTGTGATGGGGGGCTGTGTGACTTTGGGGCTCAGTGATGGGGAACTGTGATGTTGGATGCTCTGTAATAGGGGAACTCTGTTGTGACGGGGACACTGTGGTGATGGGGGGGGGGTCTCTGATGTGATGGGGTGACTCTGATGTGAAGGAGGGATGCTGATGTTATCGGGGGCCTGGTATGATGGAGGAACCACTGATGGGAAGTTAATTTCACCAAGGCAGTTGTGTGCAATGTCTTGGGCTCAGGTTTCCAGTCAATAAGTAACTTTTACCTTAAGGTTCTACATAGCCCTGTATGAGAAAAGCTTTTGTGGAGAATTACAATGACCCCTATTGGCTGTTGGTTGGAAGAGGGGGGTAAAGAAAAACCTCTACAAACACAAGCATGGCTGTGGGCTCCTCCACTATGTCAGTGGGCAGATCGAGTCCCTTCCAGCCTTGAAGGCCCTGAAATAGCTGTACCCATGACTTGCTTCATACGTTTCTTTCAGAAAATAGAAACCTATACTGTTCTTATGACTATTTCCCATCAAACATGTAAAGATAGAGCACATTGTAAGGAATTAAATTTGTGTAAAGTGAAAATAGGAGCTAAACAAGGTCAGAGCAGAAGTTCACTCATGCATATCTGAAATCTGTAGACAAGCAAATTTAGATCTGACACTTATCAAGCGATTGGCATATATTTTATTTATTTTCTTCTTCATGCCAGGACTTTTGACTTCTAGAAACCAAAATGTGTCTGAAATAAATTCACGCCTGTAATAAAATGTTTTTTCCATCAATAAAAAACAGAATTAGTTTACGTTCAAATCTTTCTCTACCGATTCCAGGACCCAAACAGATGTTACCCAGAAATACGAATATATGTCTTGTCTATATGTGGTCACCTAAACAGGAGTATATTTCATGTTGAATTTATGGGTTATGAAGTGCCATGGAATCTTTCATTGGGAAAAAAAAGACTGTGTTTTCAACCCTTTCCTACTTTATAAGAAATAGAAAACTTTTCTCACCCTGCTTAGTAAGGGTAAAATGACAGCGATCATGTAAAATAAGGGGAACAGATTTTCAAAAAGACGTCTGAGGACATCCTAATCACACCCGCTTTTATTGGTGGTGGGGCAGGGGAGGAGCAGGGATGGAGTTAATCGAAGCATGGTAAGTGTGCCCAAATTGTTCTAACAATAGGAGAAACTTAAAGGGTTATGGTAAATAAACCCAAACCTACTCTGCTCTGGGTCACGAGTGCGTAACACACAGAATGTAGGGGTCAGGATTGCATGACACACAGAGTACAAGGGTCAAAAGTACATACAGCAGAAAGTGCCCCCAAGCTAAAATTCCCCCCTCATTTCAATACAGCCCCCCACCATCATGACAAAACCACAAATCCTCCTACATCCCTTAAACTGTATTCATCTGATCTTGGTATTACATTGCATCTGCTGGTGAGTTCCCTGGGTCCAGATGCCATGATTACCCACATTTGTTTTTCTTTCATGTCACTTAAGCTGCAGTTGTTAAAATACATGGCCAACAAATAAGAAATTATGACAATACATGAGCAAGAAACAGGCAATCATGACAATACACAGTCATACCAGGAAAACTGAAGGTCCTGATGACAAGCTGTGGCCTCCTGGGGCTCACCATGTACTGGTCAGGTATGAGGAGAGTCTTTAAGTGCAGGGTACAGTAACAAGTAATGCAGTGTTAGTAACGCAGAATTTGGGGGTCAGTAGTAAGGCTAGGGTCACACCTATGCAGTTTGCATTTGACCCATTTCTGCATTGCGGTTTGTGTTTTTTGCACCTGCGTTTTTGACACATTTTGCATTTTTTTTTTCTTATTGCTAGGCAGATTTAAAATGCAAAACGCATCTCAAACGCGGCAAAATGCATAAAAAATCTACTACATGCTTTTCTGCAGCGTTTCCATTGGAGTCTATAGAACCAAAAATGCAACATTTTGCATTCAAGAAAAGTTCCTTTCCAAAAAAGCATCAGGTGAAAGCGCGAGATGTGAACGTGTCCCATAGGAAATTATGTTACATGGACTGTAGTGCGTTTCTGCAAAACGATTCGGAAAACACTTAGGTGTGAACCTAGTGTAATACAGAGTTCACACAAATCAATAGAAAGTAACGCAGAGTGCAGGGGTCAGTAGTAATGAGGAGTTCAGGGATCAGAAGTAAATAATGCATATTACAGGGATCAGTAATAACTCGGGGTGTAGAGGTCAGTAGTAAGTAATGCAGAGTTTAGGGACCAGTAGTAAGTAAGATAGGGATCAGTAGTAAGTAATGCAGAGTTTAGGGACCAGTAGTAAGTAAGATAGACTACAAGGATCAGTAGTAAGTAATGCAGAGTTTAGGGACCAGTAGTAAGTAAGATAGGGATCAGTAGTAAGTAATGCAGAGTTTAGGGACCAGTAGTAAGTAAGATAGACTACAAGGATCAGTAGTAAGTAATGCAGAGTTTAGGGACCAGTAGTAAGTAAGATAGGGATCAGTAGTAAGTAATGCAGAGTTTAGGGACCAGTAGTAAGATAGACTACAAGGATCAGTAGTAAGTAACAAAGAGGCCTAAGGTCAGTAGTAAGCAATGCAGAAAGCAGGGGTCAGGAGCATGTAATGCAGAGGCCAGTAGTACAGTAAGTAAGGCAAAATGCAGGAGTAGGGTTGCCACCTCATCCCTTTAATTATTTATTTATTATTTACACAGGTTCTGTGGCAGATTAAGATGGTAATTAAACTCATTTAGTGCCTTGTTGTAATACATTATCCTCAGAATCTGTGTAATTAATGTGTTTGGTTTTAAAGGGGTGAGGTGGCAACCCTAGGCAGGAGTCAGTAATAATGCAGAGGGCAGCAGTAAGTAATAAGACAGTGGACAGAGCTCAGCAGTAAGTATGGACACCATATTTAAGCTGAGGACTGAATTAGGGCCACTTTGCAGATGAGGACAGCCTACTCAAATCAGGGACTGTCCCTGGAAACTAGGGATGTCTAGTCACCCCAGTGTAAAACCTTATACTGACCGCTGCAGCCTCCCTCATGCTTTCTGTTCTGCCACCAATATACTAAGTGTCAGAGCTTAGAAGCAGAAGAGGTAACGTCACCCTATCCATCCTGCGAGCATGCAATGTATCATGCTTCCTCATACCTGCAAGCATGCAATGTATCATGCTTCCTCATACCTGCAAGCATGCAATGTATCATGTTCCCTCATACCTGCGAGCATGCAATGTATCATGCTCCCTCATACCTGCGAGCATGCAATGTATCATGCTCCCTCATACCTGTGAGCATGCAATGTATCATGCTCTCTCATACCTGCGAGCATGCAATGTATCATGCTCCCTCATACCTGCAAGCATGCAATGCTTCATGCTCCCTCATACCTGCAAGCATGCAATGTATCATGCTTCCTCATACCTGCAAGCATGCAATGTATCATTCCCTCATACCTGCGAGCATGCAATGTATCATGCTCCCTCATACCTGCGAGCATGCAATGTATCATGCTCCCTCATACCTGCGAGCATGCAATGTATCATGCTCTCTCATACCTGTGAGCATGCAATGTATCATGCTCCCTCATACCTGCAAGCATGCAATGCTTCATGCTCCCTCATACCTGCAAGCATGCAATGTATCATGCTCCCTTATACCTGCAAGCACCAGGAGTTTTGTAATAACACAGAATAAACTCAGAAGAAGAAACAGCGAGAAACCACTAGAGCAGGGGCGGACTGACCATCTGGGCACACCGGGCATTGCCTGAGGGATTAGGGTCGGTAGGGGGCCCCATGAGATGCCCTTGGTACCTTTCATAGGATTTTTTGAGTGTGGGCGAGGACACAGGGGCCCCATGATCCCCCATTGCCCGGGCGCCATGAGTTGTCAGTCCACCTCTGCACTAGAGATAAGGGGGGTAATCATTACACAAAACAATGTGCATCATTCTAAGGCTCCATGCACACTAGTGTTTTTTTTCTTAAGCTCAAACAACTCTGTAAAAACAATGGATAATAGCAGTAGCATTTTGTAGTAGCGTTAGTAGTGGTTAGAAGCATTTAGGAGCGATAACAGTTTTTTTCTGCTGGCAAAACGCTCCAAAAAAACTACAAAAACCTTTTTCTTCTACTCCTAGAAGTGAATTTAAAATAAAATGCTAATAGCCTAAAATAGTGTGCATGGACACATAAGATAACACTATTTAGTTTCTAGGAGCAGAAAACAATGCTATTAAATGTTTCTAGGAGCTTAAAAAAATGCTAGTGTGTACGGCGCCTAAATGGGTAAGATTACAGGATCCCTTTAACCGCTTGCCCTCTGCCCTATAGCAGCAATACTGCTACAGGGTGGCAGGGCTGCCCAAAATCATGTGTATATATATGTGATTTTGCATTTCCGCCATTGGTGGCCTCAGCTGTCGTTCACCAGGTCCCGGACAGTGATTCCCCGCCAACACCTGGCTTTCACCAAGTATCACTGACGGGGGAGAGGTCTGTATGTAAATAATACAGATCTCTCCCCTGTCAGCTCCTTCACACTGCTTTGTATTGCTCTGTATAGCAGAGCAATACAAAGCAATGTGCTGACACAGTAAAAACACACACACAGCACACAGTAAAACAGCACACAATAAAATAGCACACAGCACACACTAACCCTTTGATCGCCCCAGATGTTAACCTCCCTAGCGGTATGATTATGTCCATATTTCTGTGCTGAAAGCGGTACTTTTTTTGCATGGAAATATGTATTTTTTTTATTGTAGGCCTGTAATTTTTAGGAATAACTCACTGAAATCTGTCCGAACAAGAGTCTAGTAAACATCCCGGGTATGATAAAATTTGAAATACAAAATCATAAATTATAATTTAACCACTTCCCGACCGGCCATTGTATATAAATGGTAGCACTGCAGGGTCGGGTGGCCGTCTATAAACGGCCTCCCCGCACCCTGCTTGTGCGCGCTCTCTGGGAGCGCGCAGCACCGCAATCCGGTGCCCGCTGAGTCCTCCGGACACAGTGAAACACCGATCGTCGGACGGGACCTCTGTACGAGGTCCTGATCATGTGATCACTGATTGGCCAATCAGTGATCACATGCAAAGTAGTAAGCAAGATGTCACTTCTGACATCATTGCTTACTATGTGTGAAATCTGTGAATGATCACAGAGGTCACATGGTACAAGGCTATTCACAAAAGCCTTGTACCATGTGACAAGCTGTGACCAATCACAGCTCACTCTGTATTTCTCAATGAGTGCAGGAATGCACACAGAGAGAAAGAGAAATGATTGCTTTTACATCCTATATGGGTGTAAAAGCAATCCGTGTAAAAAAAAAAAATCTTTATCACCCCTCACAAGTAGTACAGTGTCACCATGGTGACACTGTACTGCTAGGGTGACAGTATGTAAAAAAAAAAAATAAAAATAAAAAATAATAATATAAAAAAAAAATAAAAATCTAAAAAAAAAAAAATGTTTTTGCTTATAAACTAATTTGGATTTTTTTTTTTTTTACTAAAAAGATAACGGAATAAATGTTGGCTAAGATTTATGATGAAATATTATTTATTTGCAAAATTTTACTAAAAAAAACACTTTTTTAAAATTTTTTGGACATTTCATTTACATAGCAAAAAAAATACAAATCCCAGTGGTGAATAAATACCACCAAAATAAAGCTTTATCTATCTAAAAAAAAATGGTAAAAAATTCATTTGGGTACAGTGTTGCATGACCGCGCAATTGTCATTCAAAGTGTGATAGCGCTAAAAGCTGAAAATTGCCCTGGTCAGGAAGGGGGTAAAAGTGTCCAGACTGGAAGTGGTTAATAAATAATCATAAAAATAATAATATAATAATACATTTAATTCAATAATGTAATCAAACCAAAAACACTGAAATTTGAAATATAGCGCCAAGTTCGCACATCACTGAGCAAAGTCGCAAAATCGTTTTCAGTGTCTGATGACGAATTTCCCCACAAATCATTATCACTCATTCTGCAAGTGGTTCTAATTTACTATCGCTGTTCTCTAGCTGGTATAAAACCACTTTTGTCCTAAAGGGACGCTTTTTGGACGCCATGGACCTTTCTAAGTTTCCAGGCAGAAAGAACAGTCAAAATGCAGACGGGACAGGACAAAGCACTAGGGACAAAATGTATGTGAAATGGTTTGATAAAGTAATGGTTTACTATGTCAAATTCATTCCTAAGAAAATGAGTTTCAAAAAATGTTTAAATTTGCCGCCGTTCCGGCCCCTGTGCGTCCCAATGCTCGCAGGGACTGGAACACGGTAGCCGGATGCCGGCATCGGCCGGAGGAGGTGGCCGGGGACGCTGCAGGGGACGCATAACGGGAGCGAAGGACAAGGTAAACGCTGCAGGGAATCCCTGAGCAACGCCGCATGGTAAGCCCGAGTGTAGCTCAGGGTTACCGCTTTTGGTATTGAAACGTTACCTCGAGCTACACTCGGGAATACCACCAGGGAGGTTAAAGGATAACTTCACTTTTGGAACATACTACATGTTTCACCTGTTTTTAGGGTGGAATATGTAACATATTCCCATAGCTGCAGCCGATATGGAGCAGATATTCTGACAAGTCTGCAGAAGGCCTGCATGGCATCAGTGATCTACTGATCGCTGGTGCAATGCTTTCCAGGCTCTTTTGGACAAAAATAATAAATGCAGATTTTTTTTACCAACAAAAGAATGTGCATTTATTATTTTTGTCCAAAAGGTGAACTTATTCTTTAAGTTCTCAGAATACACTCCCTGTTTGTTAATAGGGAGCCAGGGAGTCTATGCACACTCTGCACGCAATGCTAGATTTGGGTTTGAGTTGATTAATAACAGCAATTTACTTAATCTGTCATTAGGGTCAGCTGTGTAATTTCAGCAACATTAGTCTTTCATTTGAATGGTTAAACAAAAATTTCATTTGCTCACTTTGCTGGCATTTTAGACAGATGCATTGGAGTCAATTGAAGGTTGATTTTCTGAAATTATCTGCTCATCCCTATTTTTTTAATGCTGCGAATAATGTGTTTAAAACATAACTCGATTAATAAATAGCTAGATAAAATGAATAGCCCATTAAATGAGAAAACAACAAAATCATCTTTTGTTTAACAGCCACCTTCAATCCAGAAATTTCACCTGCAGTGCTTTTTTCTGCAACTAGATGTTCTCAGTCTAATGGCCAGAATCTTTCAAACTACTTCCTCTGAGCCCAAGTCATCCTGGACCTGCCCCAGCCTGTGACTGGATAGTGGAAACAGGACATCACAGTGATGAGGTCAACTCTTCATCACTCTGCTGCTCCTTGCCAGCACATGAACAGATTGGGTCCTTGTACTATTTCTTCCTCTCACACATAAACGCTGCAGTAGAGGTACTTCAAAAGGCTGATACCAGGAAAAATTAACCACTTGCCCTTCAGAGGATGTATCCCCCTTCCTGACCAGGCCATTTTTTGTGTTACGGAGCTGCGTTACTTCAACTGACAATTATGCGGTCATGCAACGCTGCACCCAAATGAAATTTACGTCCTTTTTTTCCCACAAGTTGAGCTTTCTTTCGGTGATATTTGATCACCTGTGCATTTCTTTTTTTTGCGCTTTAAAAAAAAAGATCGACAATTTTGAGGAAAAAAATATATTTTTGACTTCTTGCTATTAAACATGTCCAGTAAAAAAATTTAAAAAAATCTAATTTCGTCATAAATGTAGGCCAAAATGTATTCTGCTACATGTTTTGCTAAAAAAAAATCCCAATACATGTAAATTAAATGGTTTACCTGAATGTTATAGCGTTTACAAATGGCGGTATATATGGTGGGATTTTATTTTTCGTTTTTACTAGTAATGGCGGCGATTAGCGACTATAGTGGGACTGAGGCGGGCATTTTGACACTGGGGGGGGAACTGAATAGAGAAAAAAACAAACAGAGAGTGCACCAGCCTAGTGCATTACCTTAAAAATGTTTAATGAATGTAAATAATAAGTATTATACTCACAAATGATCAATAAATAAAAGGCATATCACACTGCGTTTCTCACTACAGATAGAAATGCAGTGTGAATTGGACAGAGCTGTTTCTTTATGATATGCCTTTTATTTATTGATCAATTATGAGTATAATACTTATTATTTACATTCATTAAACAGTTTTAAGGTAATGCACTAGGCCAGTGCGCCCTCTGTTTGTTTTTCTCTATTCAGTACTTTGGACTCCCCCGTTTCTTGAGGGCAGCAAGGTGTGCATATCCCAAGTATTTCCAGATGTGGTCTTAATGACATTGAATCCATCCCCAAGCGCAGGAGTGACTGGGTTTTCCACTTCTACACAACTGGGGGGAACTGACTTGGTGTCACTGACATCCCCAGTGACACCAATACAGTGATCAGTGCTAAAAAAAAAAGCACTGACACTGTACTAATGGCACTGGGCAGGAAGGGGTTAACATCTGGGGTGATCAAAGGGTTAACAGTGTGCTGGATGTGTTGTACTATGGGGTAGTGTCTGTGTGCATCCCTGTAAACACATTGCATTGCATGGCTGTGCTGTGCAATGCAACTGTTTTGTTTACTAACAGTTCTCCCCCCCGTCGGAGATCCTCCCAGGCGGGGCAATTGACAGCCACCCGCCGCAAATGGCGGCACGGGTAGGGCGCAATCGCCCCCTACCCGGAAATTCAAAATCGCATATATATATATATATATATACGTGATTTTGCGCACCCGTGCCACCCTGTAGCAGTATATCTGCTCTAGGGCGGATGGGAAAAGGGGTACTTACCATGCTTACATTTTAAAAAAATACATTGAAGATTGAATGACATCTGTGTGTTGTTGCTGCAATGCACGTCACATACATTGATGTGTTTTACCATTCAATGCATTAAAACCACAGTGCATTGCGGCAAAATTTTATGACATTGCCTGATTTTAATCCGATAGAAGCCCACTGATTTCAATAGGTTGCCTTATAGAGGTTGTGAAGCTTATTTTGTTTTCTAAAATAACAAGCATGTTCTACTTACCAGGTTTTGCACAGAGAAGCCCTGAACCTCCTCTTCTGGGGTCTCCTGTCAATGCTGTTGGCTCTTCCTCTTTCATGGGGGGCACATGTGCGGGCTCGCTCCTGAGCATGGCTATTTGCATCTATAGATGTACACAGTGTGGCTCAGCCCACTCTCTACTCACAGGATTTGATTGACAGCTGAACTAGTCAATGGCTTCTACTGTTGCCTCTCTGTCCTGTGAATGCAGGGAGAGAGGAAAAAGTCATTAGAAACTGGCACAGTGCTGGATCGAATCTGGAATCAGGAAAGTATTTGAAGGGGGGGGGGGGTGATACAAACACTGGGCAGAGAATGCATTAAGGTGAAAAATGTTTAGCCTTTACAACCACTTTAATTAAACCCATTTTAACATGTGGCATAATGTGCGTGCACACCAATATAAATCATCCCTCAATTATGTATTACTGGTTACAAAGTTGCATTGGTCTTCTAAATCTGCCTAGAGTTTGTTTTCATAAAATAACAAGTATAAATATTACTACAAAAAAAAGAATAAGGGCCCATTCACAAGACCGTTGCTGATTGTACACTGCCCAGATGAGCATATTTCTACAGCAAATACAGCCAGGTGTTTCTGATTACCTGCAGACAGGAAGCATGTATAGGTCCACGAGATGACACTTTCCATGGATGTCCTAATGTAGGTTCACATTTTTACAGGTTGTGGTTAATGCATTTTTCCAGCGTGTTTTGCAGTGCGTTTTGCGTTTTTCAACACACATTTTTTTATGTGTTTTGTGGGCTTTTTTTTTGTTAATAGAAAAGTATGACAGTTTTATTCATGTAGTGTGACTCTGATGCAACTTTGAGGTGACTTTACACTCTTTGGCACTCAAGTAGCATCAAAATAGTGCAGGGACCTTTATGTGACATAAGTTGTGTGTTAGGATTAGAGTTAATGGCTAGGGTTGGGTTAGGGACTAGGGCTAGGGTTAAATGTTAGGGTTAGGGCTGGCGGTAGTCATGAGGGTTAGCGGTAATTTTTAAGGTTAGCATTTCAACCTTAACAATTACCTGTATCTGTAACTAACTCTATCGCTAACCCTAACTCTATCCCTAACCCTAACTCTATCTCTAACCCTA